CTACCTCGTGGAATACTTCAGTCTGGTACAGCAACAAAAACTTTGCCAAGATATAACATAGCATAATCACAACACTTCCTGTGTCAATAAAGACCTTAATGAAAATTAAAATGTTAGCCAAAATGAGCCTCTCATAAACTTATACTATTTTCCTCTTAACTTACCTTGTAATTCTTGCTCCACGAGCAACATTCTGTTTCTCCCTTTTAAAAAGATTGGGTTTAGCTATTGCACAAAGTTTGGGTAGTTTAAAATGCTTCCCTAAAGAGTGCAAACCTTGGCTAATTTCAGCAGCTCCTCCTTTAAATATTTTGTGGGTATTGTGTCCTGTCTTTCTTCAATTTTCTCAATCATCACTGGCCTTTTTTCTTGCTGCCATCACCATCACTGCCCCACCCAAAATGGTATATACTGTGATAAAATGTGTAGGATATACGTAAAATATTAACGATTTCGATCTTAAAATACAGCCAATTAGTTTTATGAACAATTTTTTTTTTGAAAAAGGCTCAGAATGTCATTTGAAACAGTGATGAGATACATAATTTCTAAGAAGGCATGTACCTTCAATCAAGTACCTGACAGGAAGTAGTGTTAACGTTAGGTTTATACTGCTGAATTTACATGCAGGCCAGAGATCATTAGTTTAGTTTTTGATTTCAATTATGGAAAATCAGAGTTTAAAGGAACCAGTCACCCTAACAGAAAAGATTTTTAAAAGTCTAGTGTCTAAAAGTTGTGAGTGTATATAGATGCATTCCAGACACCTGAACCAAAAAGAGGCACAGATCAACAGAATTGAAACAAGTTCATGCTGCAAACCCAGCAAGTAGTCATGAAACAGTCTCAGCAATCCAAGGGAAAGAAACTGGGAACACTCACTTAAGTAAGAAATTAAAAGGATGAGAGAAGAGTGATATTTTTCTGGAATTGAGTATCTGCAAAACTGTGTTGTGCTCTGTGGGTTAAATTCTAACTTTTTTAAATGCATACTTTTGTTTGTATTGTTTTATTTTGTGTTCTACTTTTAAAGACATCGATAGCCTTGTGTGTATATGTTTCAGGGATCAACCACCACAGTAACCAATTGCAAAAATTAATCACATGACCTCTCAAGCTAGGTTTCATTGTGACATCTGACGTGCCCAGTGCTTTTTCCAGCCGGGATCAAAACAACAGTATGATATTTTCACTCCTATTGTGTCCTTTCCAGATTTCCCAATGTTCCCTGGTAGTTTGAAATTAACCTCAGCATCATGTTTGTTATTCATTGTGAATTTTTTGATCAATCCGTACACATTATTTAATGAATTCTGGGGCATCCAGAGGTGGAAAAAATGCAATATATATACGTGAGCTTTTGTCCTTCAAAATGCTGCACACATGCATAGCTTGTTTCTTTCAGCTAAGTTGATTCATCCTTATCTACAGAGTCTCCATCTTATAAACAACCAGACCAAATAGTTCCAATGCATTAATAATGGAACTCTCTTCTGGTTTTGATGTCAGATGACAGCCTGCAGTGTTTCTCATGCCACAGATGCTATTTGACCTCAGCATTTCCTGCTTACAAAATGTAATTCACCTACATACTTTTCTCACAACTTGTACCATCTCAGGAAAAATGCTACCTATTCATTCCAAACCTATACCAATTCCACCTTGCTGGGATAGGACAAAAACAGCATAAATTGAAGAGTTGTTTCCACCAATCCATCTCAAAGGAACCACCCAACTTCAACTTAGCAACTTTAGTACACACACACCCCCACCCACTAATTTAGGCATCCATGAGACCAAACCGGTTTGTCATTCACACCACAACAGTCTGTCTCAGCTTATTTTTATACATTCAGAATTACGTAAAATGACACAGTTGGAACTTACAAAATACATTTTTTCCGAATTGTGATTCTATTTAGTTATATTGACAACCATTATAATGATTTTAGAAGAAAACACTTGCATTTATATAGCTCCTTCAAACTAATAAATGTCCAAAGGCACTTCACAGGAGCTGAATAAAACAATACTGGACTATGGTTTGCTTAAGGGCATGTGAACAAATATCCAAAGATTAGTCAAAGACATGAATTTGAAGGGATTCTGAAGAGGGAAATCATGAAGGCAAAGAGGGGCTATGAAATCACCTTGCCACAAAGATGAAGGACAATCCAAAGAGAGCAAAAGAGCAACTAGAAAGAGAATAAGGCCACTGAAAGATCAACGAGGTCGTCTGTGTTTGGAACCTCAGGAGATGGGAGGGATACTAAATGAATATTTCACGTCAGTTTTTATATTGGACAAAGAAATAGAGGCTAGACAACTCAGGGAAATAAATATCGATGTTTTGAAAACGGTTATATTACAAGAGGAAGTGCTGGGGGGTAACAAAGTGGATAAATCTCTGGGACCTGATCCAGTGTATCGCAGGATGTTGCGGGAAGATAGGGAAGAAATTGTGGGGCCCCTAGCAGAAATATTTGCATCTATAGTCACTGATGAGCTGCCTGAGGACCGGGGGGGTGGGGTAGCTAATGTTGTGCCTTAACTTAAAAAAGGCTGTAAGGAGAAGCCTGAGAATTACAGACCTGTGAGCCCGACATCAGTATTGGCGGCGATTCTGAAAGATAAGGTTTATATGCATTTGGAGACAAGGACTGATTAGGGATAGTTATAATGGTTTTGCAGGAGGGAAATCATGTCACACAAACTTGATTAAGTTTTTTAAGGAAGTAAGCAAAAAGATTGATGAGGGCAGAGCAGTAGTTGTTGTTTATATGGACTTTAGTAAAGCCTCTGACAAGGTTCCAAATGGTAGACTAATTAGCTAAGTTCAGGGTGAGCTTGGCAATTGACTACAAAATTGGCTTGACAGTAGGAGACATGGGGTGATGGTGGAGGGTTGTTTTTGAGATTGGAGACCTGCGACCAGCAGTGTTCCGTGAGGATCGGTAGTGGGTCCACTTGTTTGTCATTTATGTAAATGATTTGTATGAGAATATAGAAGATATGGTTAGTAAGGTTGCAGATGACACCAAAATTGATGGTACAGTGGATAGTGAAGAAGGTTATCTAAAATTAGAGATCTTGATCAATTGGGTCAATGAGCTGAGGAGTGACAGAGTTTCATTTGGATTAATGAGAGATATTGCATTTTGGTAAAACAAACAAGGGCAGGACTTATACAATTAATGGTAGGGTCCTGGGCATTATTGTAGAACAGAGACACCTGGGGGTTCAGGTACATAATTCTTTGCAACTTGCATTACAGGTAGGCAGGGTAGTCAAGAAGGTGTTTAGCACACTGGCCTTCATTGCTCAGACCTTTGAGTATATGAGTTGGGACATCATGTTGACGTTGTACAGATTGTTGGTGAGGCCTCTTCTGGTGTACTGTGTGCAGTTCTGGTCACCCTGCTATAGGAAGGATATTATTAAATAGGGGAGAGTCCAGAAAAGATCTGCCAGGATGTTGCTGGAATGAGTTATGGAGAGAGGCTGGATAGGCTGGGACTTTTTTCACCACAGCAAGAGAGATTGCGGGGTAACCTCACAAAAGTTTAAAATCATGAGGAGCATAGATAAGGTGAAAGCAAGGGTCTTTTCCCTTGGGTGGGGGAGTTCAAAACTAGGGGGCATATTTTTAAGATGAGAAAGTTTTAAAAAGGACATGAGGGGCAACTTTTTTTTAAACACAGAGTGGATCACGTGTGGAATAAACTGCCAGAGGAAACAGTGGATGCAGCTACAGTCACGACATTTAAAAGGTAGGATAAGTACATGAATAGGAAAGTTTGGAGGGGTACAGGCCAAACACAGGCAAGTGGGACTACTTTAGTTTGGGAACATGGTTGGCATGGACTAGTTGGACCAAAAGGTCTGATTCCATGCTCTATGACGCTATGAGTGTCTTGAATGAGAAAAACAATGAAGTGAGGCAGAAAGGTTTAGAGAAGGAATTCCACAGCTTAGGGCAAAGGCAGTTTAAGGCATGGCCACATAGTGGAAGGATTAAAATCAGTAATGTTCAACAGTCTAGAATTAGAGGAGCACAGATGTCCTGAAGAGTTGCAGGGCTGGATGAAATAGAGATAGGGCAGGAAAAGATCATAGCGGTACTTGAAACTAATATAATTGCGCACAACAGGTGACCCAGTTCAATTCCCACCTGCACTAGAAATGTGATAACATCTCTGAACAGATTGATGTGAAAAGATCTAGAATTGTGCAAAACCCAAATAACTCACTATCTCTCTACGTGGATTTTGTTCTGAAGAATTAACTAGTCAGTAATAAGGAGTTTAAGAAAAAAAACTTGAGATAACTAAGGCTGCAAAGAAAAGAAAAACTAGCCTTGAAATAAATGAACATGACAAACAGAGAACCAGCTGGTCAAAACCAACTCAGGATATCACATGGACCGTTTGTTGGAACTTAATCCATGATGCGACCTTAAAATAAACTGGATTTCAGTAATTTAAGTAAGGCATACTAATTTAGAAGTGTCCAAAGCACTCAAAGGTTGTTATGCAATTTCACCTTTCATTTTATGGGTATGGCTTTGTGACACAGTTCACAATCGTTGTGCAACAGTTAAATTTCGAGGACACTTGAAAAGTAACAGAGACGAAACTGACAGGAATCAAATCGAAATGAAAGAAACCTTGAGTGAGTTGGCAAATCCCCATGTCATCTGACAAAAACAGTAAGTGTATTCTTTAAAAATACAACCCGAATAATCCAACATCCACGGAGAAGAGGGCGGCTGGATGCGGCACTAAGAGACTGCGGTACCGGTGCCTGACACTCGGATAAAGGCGGTCGATGCTCTAACTGCTGCCGACAACCCTCAACTTCCAGCCGCTCTCTTTCCCAAAGGCCTGACCAGAGAGGCCAGGCCCAGCCACACTTACCGCCTCAGAACCTCCGCCAGCCGACAGCCCACAGAGGCCCCAGCGAGGATCTCTATCAGAAAACTCCCGGTTTTAAAAACTAACCTCGACTTGCAGGAACTTTACGCCAGCTCCTGGATAGGACAGGCCTCAGCGAGCCCCGGCAGCACCGAGCAAGCGAGGCAGCCCCGCCAACTGACGTCAGGTGACACCGCCCACAGAGAGCGAGCCGTGACTCACCGCTGGGCACGGGGAGAGTCAGCGCTGAGCACGGGAAGAGTCAGTGCTGGGCACAGGGAGAATCAGCACTGGGCACGGGGAGGGCACAAGGACAGTCAGCGCTGGGCACGGGGAGAGTCAGCACTGGGCACGGGGAGAGCACAGGGACAGTCAGCGCTGGGTACGGGGAGAGTCAGCGCTGGGCACGGGGAGAGTCAGTGCTGTGCACG